CTGGTGGGAATGCAGACTGGTGTAGCCGCTATGGAAAACAATATGGTGCTACCTCAAAAAATTAAAAATTGAACTTCCATTTGACCCAGTGATCCCACTTCTAGGAATATACCCTAAGAAGCCTGAAACACCAATCAGGAAGAATATATGTACCCCCATGTTCATAGCAGCACTATTTACAATAGCTAAGATCTGGAAACAGCCCAAGTGTCCATCAGTAGACGAATGGATAAAAAAGCTGTGGTACATATACACAATGGAGTACTATGCAGCGGTAAGAAAGAAAGATCTCTTATCCTTTGAGACGACATGGAGGGACCTGGAAAGTATTATCCTAAGTGAAAGAAGCCAAGCAGAAAAAGACAAATACCACATGATCTCACTTATATACGGAATATAATGAACATAACAGTCTGAGGAATACAGTAGACCCAGAAACATGGAAGTAGGGCACAGACTGACACCCCTCAGAAGAGGGGGTGGGGGGGTGGGAAGAGATAAACCACAGAACTTATATGCATGTATGCATGACCAATGGACATGGACAACTAAGCCGGGGACGGGGTGGAGGTGGGGTGGGGTGGGGGGTGCCAATGGGGTAAAAAGGTAAAATATCTGTAACAAAAAAATAAATAAAAAATTCATAAAATAAATAAATAAATAAATAAATAAATAAATAAATAAAAAACCCTCATAGAGCCCAGCCAGTGTGGCTCAATGGTTACGTGTTGACTCATGCACCAAGAGGTCGCCAGTTCAATTCCTAGTCAGGGCACATGCCCAGGTTGTGGGCCCGATCCCTAGTATGGGGCATGCAGGAAGCGGCCAATTAATGTTCTTTCTCTCTCTCCCTCTCCCTTCCTCTCTCTCTAAAATCAATAAAGAAAAAAAAATTGTTTTTAAACCCTCATAGAGATTACATCCTAGTGAGGAAACTCACAAATAAAAAAATAAGTAAAAGCCTTGGCCAGTTTGGCTCAGCAGTTGGAGTGTCGGCCCGCATACCAGAGAGTCCTGGGTTCAGTTCCCGCTAAGGGCACGTACCTTGGTTGCAGTTGATCCCTGGCCCCTGTTGGGGTCGTGTGGGTGGCAACCAGTCGATGTGTCTCTCTCGAATCGATGGTTTTTTTTCTCTCTCTCTTCCTCCCTCTCTTCCTCCCACTCTAGCTAAAGATAAATGAAAAAAAATTTTTTCCTTGGGTGAGGATAAAAAATAATAATAATAAGTAAAATATTTACTATGTAAAATAATAAGTGCTAAAAAGAAAAATAAAGGCAGGAAGGGAATAATTAGTACTGTGGAGGGCAGTTTCCAATTTTAGAAATGATGGCCAGAGAGGGTAATTTTTTGAAGGTGAAATACGAGACCTAAAGGATGAGGGGCTGAGACTTGTCCCAATCAGGGAGAAGAGCACCCTGGGAGCGGAAGCAGCCAGTTCAGAAGACCTGATGGAAGGAATGTGATGAGCATGCTCAAGAAGCACTAAGGAGGCCAGTGAGTGACGAGAGAAGGCAGCAGGAGATGAGATGAAGAGACTTCACGCAAACCAGGTCATACAGGGCTCTGCAGGCCATTCCAAGGACTTTCCCCCTTCCTGTGTTTCAATTAGAGAATGACATGATCTTATTTTAACAGGATCATCTGGCTCTTCGGTGAACAGACAGACTCTGGGGGGAAGGGAATGGTAGCAGAAGCAGGAAGTGGGAAGCTCCAGAAGGGAGACTGCAGTGGACCAGGGTTCAGAAGTAGAGCTGGTGATCAGATTCTGAATACATTTTGAATGCAGAGCTCGTAGGACTGCTAAGAGATGAAAAGAGGGGTAAGAAAAAGTCAAAGACAACTCAGAAGTTTTCAGACTGAACTACTAGAAGAGAGGAGTTCCCATTTACTGAAATAAGGAAGTTTATTAATAGAAAAGATTTGAAGAGAATAACAGAAACCCCAGTGTGAACATTTATTAGACACCTAGGCATATACAGTAAGTCAGACATCCAAGTCTAGACATTGAAATGTATATACAAAAATATACAAGTCTGGGACTGAGAGAGCCAAGTCATCGATGTACCGTTGGCATTTAAAGCCAAAGACTAGATGAGATTATGAAAGAAGAAACACAGATAGGAAAAGCAAGTTCAAGGCCTGAGCCATGAGGCACCCTGAAGTGTGGACCGAGGAGGTGAGAAAGAGCTAGCAGAGCAAATTGAGAAAGAGCAGCTAGCGAGGAAGGAAGAATATTTGAGTTCTGAAGTCCAAGAAAAGAGAATGTGTCAGAACAGAGAGTAACCGACCATGTCAAATGCTGCTGGTAGGTCAAGGGCAAGACTGGGAATTGACTACGTGATGTAACAGTATAGAGGTAGTTAGAGACCCTGATAATGGCAATGGGTGAGGGTGCAAGTTGGAATCTGACTGGAAAGGGTACAAGGAAGAACTGTAGGCAAGAGTAAGGGCAACAGCCCTGGCCGGTTTGGCTCAGAGGTTAGAGCATCGGCCCACGGACCAGAGAGACCCGGGTTTGGTTCCCGCTAAGGGCATGTACCTCGGTTGCAGTTTGTCCCTGGCCCCAGTTGGGGTTGTGTGGGTGGCAGCCACTCGATGTGTCTCTCTCACATCGATGTTTCTCTCTCTCTCTTCCTACCTCTTTCTCTCTTGCTCTATCTGAAGATGAATGCAAAAGTGTCCTCGGGTGAGGATTTAAAAAAAAATTTTAAAAAGAGTAAGGGCAACAGAGAATGCTGTAGGAATCAGAGCAGTAGCTGAGGAGGAAATGGGGTCAAAGGAAGACTGGTGTTTTTAAATGGGAGTAATAATAGATTTTACTCTGATGGAAACAATAGAGTAGAAAGAGAAAGAATTCAGGAGAGAGAGGGGAATAGAGAGAGAGGGACAGAGCGATGTCCCTGAACGATCAACACTGACACGCGCAGGAACTAGAGCACTGGGCACGGATGGCGGAGGTGGGTGGGTGTGGTTGTGCAAGCCCCAGAAGTCCTCTTCTGATTGCTTCTGTTTTCCGACAAGAAATAAGAAGCAAGGCCATTAGCTGAGAGCAGGAGGAAAAGGAGGTACTGGAGGGCTGAGGAGGAAGAGAGGGTTCCGGCAGTTGAAATGACAGCAGACATTCACTAGGGAGGAGCAGCGTGACCAGGCAGCGCTCATGCTCCAGCTGAGGTTTGGGAGCACTAGTGAGTTTAAAGTAAAAGCCGTCAGCATGGCTGTCTTTGCCTAGCTGCACGGAGCCATGCAGGTGCAAGCACTGCAGTGGCAGGAAGTTGGCTTTAACCAGGACTGTAGTTTAGCCCAGAAGCAGCAAGGGAGGTGAGGGAGGTTAAGGTATGTGCGAGTGACTGCAGAACTGAGCTGGAAGAGAGGGGAATGAAGACATGAGTGTGCTGAGGACAACCAAACAGCGGTGGTGTCACTGGGATCCAGGGGTTAGTGAAATCAGGGCACTAGACAAGAGAATGGCCAGAGTGGAAACGAATCCTTCCGTTCCCATTTCAAAGTGGACTGGTAGAAACTTCACCAGAGGCAAAATTAGAAAATGCTCACTTCCTTCTCATTCGCTCCTTAGCCACAGATCTGCCCTCCCCACCACCAGCACTGCCATTTCATTCACTAATACTGCCTCCCAAAGCTACCAATCATCAACCTCCACGCACTGCCTCACTGACCTTCCTCTGGTCACTGGGCAGACAGTGAGCATCTCAAAGGCAGAAACTATGTCTATTTGATCCGAATATTCTAGGCAATACCGAGTCCACTGCTATGTAAGAATGTAGCTATTTAAAAAACAAATTCCTCTGCCAAAACACCAAGGTATGATACTGAGAGAATGAGGAAGTAACAAAAGAATTCAACTGTATGAAGTACCTACAGGGAACTATATGTATGTAAAATGCCAATTCTGTCTACATCTCAGTTATGTTACAAATTTTTATTTTCAGAAAATTTTTATTTTAGGAAGACTTTTCTAAAATATTTTTTCAAATTCCAATTTTATTTTTACCTCTATTATCTGAAACTCAACCTCCTTCCTCACTAAACATAAACAAACTAAGAACAAACCCAATCAGGAGCCTCCCTTTCATTCTACAGTTCACTTTTTGGTAACAGAAAAAAAAAACAGAGAAGGGGGATTCTGACCAACTTTAAAATATTCAGTCCCTAGTTCTCAGCTATGGAACCAGCTCCCTAGCCAAGTATAATGAAGAAAGGAGAAACTCCAAGTTACCAAAAAAAGTGACAGGTTTACTACATATAAGACTTTTCTAAGTCCTTATAAAGCTAACATCTTTATTTGGCTACAGCAAACTTTGTTGTTGTTTGTGGGAGAGTTTATTAAAGCCTCATGGACCCACGATGTCACAAAGAGCTACTGGTCTAGAAGAGGCTCTATCAGCCACAGGACACATGAGAATCCCTTGTGAAACTTTGTACAAATTACCTGCCCCGCCTCCTGCCGAGTCTGACTCGACAGGCGCAGGTGGGTCCTAAGCAGCCGTGCTCTTTAAAGGCTGTGCATTAGGCCTGGCCAGTGCGGCTCAGTGGATTGAGCAGCGTCCCATGGACTGAGAGGTCCCGGTTCAATTTCCGGTCGATGTTTCTATCTCATGTCAATGTTTCTCTCTCTCTCTTCCTCTCTCTCTAAAAAAAAAAATCAATAAAAACATATTACAATAAATAAGCAAACAAACAAACAAAATCAAGGCTCTGCATTAGGAAGCACTCCTCGATCGAGAACTACCTGTCTAGAATACAAATCTTTTCTGAAAACTGCTACCTTTCCTTTTCTCAAGTATCAGAAGTTCCATCAAATCACCTAAAATTATTTCCCCATTAATTTCTTTCTTACAGTGATATACTTAGGGTCAAATTTTAACAGTGACTGCCCCATTTATATATAATATGGTACTCAAAATCCGAAAGGTGGTAGATTTTACTCCTCTGATAAACATACTTCACCAGTAACTGTGAGTAATCACAGAGCGGGCCTTACCCGTTCCACCACTGCATTATGATACGGGAGCTCCTCCTCACTGCAGAGAAAAAAACAGTACATGTCAAAGAGTTGAAGTCACAGCAAACTTTGAAAAAATTATAAAGCAATAGGTACACATGATGTACGACCACTGTCATTACAAAAGTTACATAGCTCCCATTCCACCAAAATCCTTATAAAATATTAGCTCTCTGTAACCACAATGTCCCCGACCTTCAAATTCCACCACCTGCACTGTCCAATAAAGTAATCTCTAGGCACATGTGGCTGTTTAATTTTAAATGTAAATTAAAATTAAATAAAATTAAACATTCAGTCTCAGGCCACAGATCACCAAACTCTATCTAGACCATTACTCCACTCTCTGGCTCAAACCATGGCCTATAATAAATGATTGTTTTAAAACATTAGTAGAAAATAAAACTGCCTCCAACAGATTATGAATTAAAAAGAAAACTTTTACCTGGTAAATAAGAAAATCTTTTTTTTTTATTAAAATTTTTTTTTTTTTTTTGCATTCATCTTCAGATAGAGCAAGAGGGAGAGAGGGAGGAAGAGAGAGAGAGAAACATCGACGTGAGAAAGACACATCGATTGGTTGCCACTTGCACAACCCCAGCAGGGGCTGGGGACAAACTGCAACCGAAGTATGTGCCGTTAGTGGGAATCGAACCCAGGACTCCCCGGTCTGCAGGTCGATGCTCTAACTGCTGAGCCAACTAGCCAGGGTGGAAATCTTTATTTTTGAAAAATGCCATAGAGATGATTTTTTTTAAACATAAGTAAAAGATGAAATTCACTTTTCTAACACAGTGATTCTGTGATATCACCTCTAATATAAACTATTCTGGGACTTTTATGTTCACTGTCAGAAATGTAAAAATAATGTGCTATCCGTAAACAAAGTCATGCGCTTCAAGTTGATATCCCAGTAATACTGAGGTTTTGGCAAGATATGTACATATTCTTGCCTTAGTTTCTCTTGAGGTCAAATAATACCACTGTCCAGAGTGCAATACATTCGTAGTCAAGAGTCCGGTATTTCAAAGGCACTCTTTGCTACTCTGATGACTAAGGTCCTTAGGTGAACCATGAAGTTAAAGCAATGGAACTGACAAAAAGTGTAATAATTGAATAGAAAGATAGTTCAAATCCTCATCTCACAGATAAGGAAACTAACATTTTTCACTTAGTCACACTTAGCCTAATGTAGAGATGTTCAGCACTATCTAACCCATAAGTTCAAATTCAGAGACAAGATCTTCAAATTGTGCAGGAGTATATGAAAGGCTGAATAAACAATTCTTAAGAAGACAAGAAACTTTGAGGATTAAATATAAAAAGTCTTTTTTGTTTTTTCTAAGTATCCACTCACCTTTTAAAGTATCCACTCACCTTTTAAAGTATCCATTCACCTTTACTGAATGTGACACTTTGATTTTTTTATACCTTTCATTGTGCTCTTTGTCTCAATTTCCCTGCTAATTTGCAACCCTCCTTGGTCAGGTAGCTCAGTTGGTTAGAGTGTCATCCCAATATGCCAAGGTTGCAGGTTGGATCCCCGGTCAGGGCACAAACAAGAAGCTACCAATGAATGCTTAAACAAGTAGAACAACAAATCGATGCCTCTCTCTCTCTCTGTCTCTCTCTCTCTCTTTTCTTCTCCACCCTCTTCTCTCTCTCTCTAAAAATCAATGAATAAATAAATGCATTTATAATCCTGATAACTAGGGCCTATGATGTATGAACGATATAACTTCCAGTTTAAAAGTGTACCTATCCATTCTTCCTGTACTGGTAGAAGAGGGCTTGTGGACACCACCGGAATGTACTCCTAGGTAACTAGGTCAGCAGTGAAGCCTTGAAAGAATAAGAACATCTGGCACGCTTTGTGCACACCCAGAATGGTATTTCTGGGGTGAGTGGGCTGCCCTGCGCAAGATTAACCTTTTGTACAACTGATTTGAGCTGATCCTGACAACTGTTTATTTTAACGTTCCTAACTGCAAATGAAGTGCTATCTAGGGCTGCCTATCACAGGAGAAGTTCTTTGAAGTTGCTGGGTGAATTTCTTTCATGTCCTCCTATTTGATAAACAAGACTGACAGACCTGTTCTGAACCCTGAATCAGAACCAAGTTTTGTGCTTGTCTGTGGAATGATGCTAATCACCTGCTCAGGCAACATGGCCTGTGTTGGGCAGGTCCTACAGAACCAACTGCTTTGTAAATTCAAGATGAGCCAGGACTGCACGCAGCAGACCACTGCACCTTGACCTCAAACCATGCTATTGAAACCCTGGGAGAGAGGAATGCCCGAATACACATAGAACCATGGTCAGCCTTAGGCAAAATCCAGGAGCACACAAGCCTAGCCTTAGATTTCCATTCAGTCCAGTATTTCACATTATTTCCTTTTGCCCTGTGGCAACCCCACCAGGATCTGGTTACCTGTCCTGCCCCCATCAGAATCCCCAGTTACTGAACTCCTGCTATCCAACCATGTTTTTAATGTGCATTTAAAAATTTATTTATTTAAAAACTGAGACATAATTGACATATAACAACATAATAGTTTTAGGCTATCACATAATGATTTGCTATATGTATATATACTGTAAAATGATTATATTTGGTTAATATCCATCAGCAAACATGCTTATAGGTTTTTAAATACTTTCCTTGTGATGAGAACTTTTAAGATCTACTCCCTTAGCAACTTTCAAATATACAAAACAGCAATGTTAACTATATATAGTCACCATGCTGTACATTACATCCTCAGGACTTACTAATAACTAGAAATTTACACTCAATGATCACCTTCACCCATTGCCAGCACCACCCTCACCACCCCCGCCACACCTCTGGCAACCACCAATCTGTTCTCTGTATCTATGGGTTTGTTGCTGTTGTTTTTTTGAGATTCCATTATAAGTGATATCATACAGTGTTTGTCTTTTTTGGTCTGACTTATGTCACTTAGCATAATGCTATGAAGGTCCACCGATATACATGACATTTTCTTTTCCATTCATCTGTCAATAGACACTTACGTTGTTTCCATGTCTTGGATATTGTAAGTGATGCTGCAAAAAACATAGGGGTACAGATATCTTTTCAAGATAGTGATTTAATTTCCCTTTGGATAAATACCCAGAGACAGAATTGCTGGATCATATGGTAGTTCTATTTTGAGGAACCTCAATACTGTTTTCCATAGTGGCTGCACCAATTTACAATTCCACTAACAATGCACGAGGGTTCCCTTTTCTCCACATCCTCACCAATACTTGCTATCTCTTGTCTTTTTTCATCTACTTTGGTATGAGGGGTTACCAGATTGTGGTTTTGATTCGCATTCCCTGATGATTAGCGATGTTGAATACTTTTTCCAATACTTGTTGGCTATCTGGATATCTTCTTTGAAAAAATGTCCATTCATATCCTCTACCCATTTTTCAATCAAATTGTTTGCTTTTTATGGTATTGAGTTGTATAAGTTCTTCATATAGTTTGGACAATAACCCCTTATCAAATATAGGATTTGCAAATATTTTCTCCCACTTGGTAGGCGGCCTTTTCATTTTGTTGATGGTTTCATTTGCTGTGCAGAGACTTTTTAGTTTGATATAGTCCCACTTGTTTATTTCTGCTTTCTGCATTTGCTTTTGGTGTCACATCCAAAAATATAATAATCAAGACCGATGTCAAGAAGTTTACTGCCTATGTTTTCTTCTAGGATTTTACTGTTTCAGGTCTTATGCTCAGTCTTTAATTCATTTTGAGTTGATTTTTTTTGTATAATGTAAGATAGTAGTCCAGTTTCATTCTTTGGTATGTGGCTGTCCAGTTTTCCCAACATCATTTTTTAAATAGTTTATTGATTTTTAAAAATTTTATTTTTAAAATCCTTAGCTGAGGATATTTTTCCATCTATCTTCAGACAGAGTGGGAGGGAGAGAGACAGAGAGAAAGAGAAAGAGAGAGAAACATTGATGTGAGAGAGACACATCAACTGGTTGCCTCCCGCACGACCCTGACCAGGGCTGGGGACTGAACCAAAACGGAGGTACGTAGCCCTTGACCAGAATTGAACCCTTGACTCTGGTCCATGGGCCGATGCTCTAACTGCTGAGTCAAACCAGCCAGGGCTAGTTTATTGATTTTTAGATAAAGGAAGAGGGAGAGAGAGAGAGAAACATCAATGTGAGAGCGAAACACTGATTGGCTGCCTCCTGCATGCCCCATACCAGGGATAAAGCCTGCAACCCAGGCATGTGCCCTTGACCAGGAATTGAACCTGCAACCTCCTGGTGCATGGGAAAACACCTAACCAACTGAGTCACGCTGGTCAGGGCCCCACCACCATTTATTGAAAAGACTTATCCCTTCCCCACAGTACATTCTTGCCTCCTTTGTCATAAATTAATTTACCATATATATGTGGGTTTATTTCTGAGCTCTCTATTCTGTTCCATTGATCTATTTGTCTGGTTTTATGCCAATACCATACTGTTTTGATTACTATATCTTTTAATATAGTTTGAAATCAGAAAATGTGATGCCTACAGCCTTGGTCTTCTTGTACAAAATTGCTTTGGTAATTTGGGGTCTTTTCCGATAACATACAAATTTTAGAATTGTCTATTCTATTTCTGTAAGACAAGCCATTGGAATTTTGATAGGGATGGCACAAAGTATATTGTTTTAAGTAGAATGGACACTTTAACAATATTAATTCTTCTAATCCATAAGTACAGAATATCATTCTATTTATTTGTATCTTCTTCCATTTCTTTCATCAATGTCTTATAGTTTTCAGAGTACAGATCTATTACCTCCTTGGTTAAACTGATTCCTTGATTTTTTTTTTTTAATGTAACTGTAAATAGAACTGTTCTCTTAATTTCTGTTTCTGATAGTTTGTTACTAGTATATAGAAATGCAACTTTTTTTGTATATTGAGTTTGTATCCAGCAGCTTTACTGAATTTATTAGTTCTAACAGTTTTTTGGTTGGAGTCTTTAGGGTTTTCTATATATAAGATCATATGATCTGCAAATAAAGACAGTTTTATTTCTTCCCTTCTGATTTGAATGCCTTTTTTTTTTTCTTGCCTTGCTGCTCTGGCTAGCACTTCTAGTCTCATACTAAATAAAAGTGGTGAGAGTGGGCATCCTTGTCTCATTTCTGATCTTAGAGAAAAAGTTTTCAGTTTTTCCCCATTAAGAATGATCTCAGCTGTGGTTTGTCATATATGGCCTTTATGAAGTTGAGATACATTTCCCCCTCTACCCATTTTGTTGAGAGTTTTTTCATGAATGGATGTTCAATTTTGTAACAAGTCTTGAGGCTTCATAGATGGATGACATAGCTCAAGAATGTGCTCAAGTTTTCCTATATGGATTTTCTTGCATTATTGCTTCACACCTAAAACATTTTATACAAAGTCTGCTATGTGCCCAACTCTTTTATCTCCAAAACACTATTACTCCTCAAATTCTGTAGTGGCATACAACAATTTCTACAGCCTTCCAAGGACAAATCAGGGGCATGCTGTCTTACCAAGAGCTACAACAATGTCTAGACCACACATGTAAAGCTCCGCACCAGCCTCAGGCACAGATGCTGGCACACTGAAGGAATACACTAATATTGCTGAATGAATGTATGAAGGGAAGGATGAATGCATACCTGCATGCGCACATACATCTCTACCCTGCCACTTAAATATCCTTCAAGTAGGAAAAAAAAGGACCAAAATCTGGGTGAGTAGAGTATTCCCTTAGGTCAGCAAAACTACAGCCCATGGATCAAATCTAGCTCACTGCCTGTTTTTGTAAAAAAAAAAAAAAGTTTTATTAGAACACTGCCATGCTCTTTCATTTATGTATTGTCTGTGTTGTTTTCATGCTACAATGGTAGAGTTGTATAGCTGTGACAAAGGGTCCATAAAGCCAAAAATATTTCTTATCTGGCTCTTTACAGAAAATGATTGCCTCCTCCTGCTTTAGAAAACAAAGGTTTTCTTCTCTAAGGAAAAGAAATACCTAGAAGCTGCTCAAAGAAAACACCAAGCTGACAGCAAGGAGATATGCCTCACAGAAATACAGTAAGTAAAAAAATAACAACAACATAGTCATCTCTGGAAAGACAGGGACCTGGACTGGGTCTATTTGTTTCATCTGCTAATAAATTTAGAATTACTAATTAGGGTACATATGTCTATAATTTTTCAGTAACTCAGATGGAGTATTTCTATAACTAGATAAAATTTTATTTAGAAACTTAAAACTTAACTTGTTAAAATCAGTAAATTTGAATATACTAACCAAATTTTATTTCTATTTCTGTAGTAAATTTTGTCTAAATTTAGATTTATTCCTGTCAAAATAATTAGATGAGTAGAAAGAGTTCTCAAGCCCTTGTCATCAAAACAGATATTCTTTAAAAACAAAAACACTTTTATTGTGGCTTTCTCATATTTATATAGGCATAGTAAAGCACAACTAGCTAAATTTTATGGATATATACATTTTGATTGATAAGTAGTTGAAAACCTGAAGCTTTGCCCTGGCCAGTGTGGCTCAGGGGATACAGCATCAGCCTACGCACCAAAGGGTGGCAGGTTCAATTCCTGGTCAAGGGCATATATCTGGATTGCAGGTTCTATCCCCAGCCCAAGTTGGGGTGAGTGTGTGAGGCAACCAATCAATGTGTCTCTCTCACATCGATGTTTCTTTTTCTTTCTCTCTCTATCCCTCCCTCCCTTCCATTCTCTCTTTTAAAAAAAATCAGCCCAGCTGGTATGGCTCAGCAGATTGAGCATCCTCCCATGGACTGAGAGGTCTCATCTCGATTACCAGGTCAGGGCACATGCCCAGGTTGCAGGCTCCATCCCCAGCAGAGGGTGTGCAGGAGGAAGGCCATTGATGTATGTTTCTCACATGGATGTTTCTATCTCTCTTTCCCTTTCTCTCTCTTTAATTAACAACTATTTTTTTAATCGGAAAAAATATCCTCAGGTGAGGATTAAAAAAAAAGGAAACCTGAAGCTTAGTATTAATTTTATCTTTATTTTTGGTACAATTTCCTTCTAATCCTTCTATTAATAACTTGTGACCTAAAAGCATTATCTATCATGATCCAAATACCAACATTCTTTGTTGACCAGAGTAGCACTGGCTATTTTTAATAAAAATGTTGAAAGTTCTCTAACTTTTTAAATAATCTCGATTTCTCCATTCTCCAGATGCAATGCAATCACAGACTGGGGACAGCTCCCCGTTTCTGAGTACTTAACAGAGATACTCCTGTTCCAGCATCAAGCCAAGTTGATTTGGCAACAGTTTTCATATTTATTGTGAAATCTGTTATAAAACCAAGTTATTCCTGTAATGCATTTGTTCATTGCTGTCATCCTTCCCCACATATCATACCAAGTAATTTAATTTACTAAAACTATAATTAGATACAAAGTCAGCAGCCTTCAGAGAAGGCTACAAAGTTCATTTTGTAGTTAAAAAAATGTTATTGACATTGACACTTAAAACCCAATTTCATTGGAGAACCAATCAAAATTTGCAAAGAACTAAGACGGCGGAAAGAAATGCTCTTTTGATCAAGGTATGACAGGGAGCAATATCTAAATGCCTAAGCCACGTGCCTTTATTCAGTAGCACACAAAAAATCCCAGTCTACAGTGACAAGCAGTAAAAGCCACCAGCAGCGACCTCTGGAGAAAGTGTTTTATTGAAATTAGGCATTGTTAGAAAAATCAATGACTTTGGTGAAATTTAATAAAGCCTAAAATTACACTGAGATCCATTTCTATGCTTCATTATTTTCATTTGTGCTGCCTGCCTTAGGACTGCACCATGGAGTAATTTTTTTAAAAAATTAGTATGGCAGTATGCGCACTGCTATCAATGGCTTTGCCTTTAAAGCAGTGAGCTTAGCTATATGAGCATACCTCAGTCCATGTGGCCGGTTCACTCAGTACCCCTCTTTGTGCACTCTTTTCCTCTCCTTTTTCTTTCTAAGCATTTCAATGCCTTCTATGGGTTTCTCTTATTTAAATTACAGGAGAGCAGGCACAGGCAGTGGAATGCGGAAGGTGGGAACACAGGCTCTGCCCTAGGACCTCCAAGGTCCACATCCCAGATCTGACCCTTACTGTCAGCACAACTTGGGCAATGGCCTCTCTGTGCTTCATTTTCATCTAAAAAATGATTTAAAAAAAGTACCTATCCAGAAAAGTTTTTGAGAGGAATACATGAGTTAATCCATGAAAGAGCATGAAATAGTGCCTGTCACCTAGTAAGTGCTCAATAAATATTAAATAATATTATTAAGATAAATTATTGACAGACTTTCCCCCCACTATCGCCAAATGGACCTCAGCACAGAGGATAAAACAATATAATAATTAAGTGTGACTTTTAGACTGCCAAGTACAGGCTAGGCTCTTGGGCCAGAAACTCACTCACATAGTTCAAAGCAATAAAAAAAGATAAATTTAGGTAATTACTAGACTCGTTTGGAATGCACAGGTTTTTCATACGTATTTTGTACTACATTAGACCATTTTATGATTAAAACATTTTTTAGAGTGGTTCACTCTCTCAGAAACACTGAGGAGGTCAAAATCAGCTGAGTTATATTCCACCTGCTGAATCAAAATCCAGGACAGATCCCAGAAATCTATTTTAAAAAACAAACAGTTCCCAGAGCTGACTGTAATGTGCAGGCAAGTTCTGGACCCACTGATCTTCACAGGGCTAAATGCTCACATTGTCCTTCCTAAAACTTCACTCACATATTTCAGATCTGCGATTAACCCACACAAATGTGCAATTACTTCCTGCCACATTGGGGGCCAAGCTTGATTTACTTAAAAAAAAAAGGTGGAAGTAGGGGGGTTAATTTAAGAACACTATTTTCATCACAGTTAAATATTGCTCTGTTAGTCTATTGAAGTTCAAAGTATTCTAATTACAACTACTCAGGAGAACATTTTGGATATGCCAGTGTCATGTTATTAGGTATAATAATAACACCTTATATTTGTCCAGACCTTTATACAGTATTCTGTGATTTATGTCTTCAAAGCTTCCACTACCCTAGAAGGTATGTAGAGCAGGTAGATTTCTGTTTCACACCTGAGGCATGAAGTGGTTAACTGAGCCAGTGAAGCCACAAGAAAAGCATTTATTTTCTAACTTTCAGAACTCTTCATTTATCTGTTTGCTTGTTGGACCCTCAGAAAAACATCAGACAACCAAATACTATCTAGATACAAGAAAACGAAACAGAAGGAGAAAATGGGTTCTGAGTACTATAAGTTACTGCTATGAATTATACAAAAAAAAAAATAAATAAGCCTTTTTCCTTCAAAATGTAATCATATATCATAAAATAAAAATCTCTGGCTTTTTCCTATTTCTAATGAAGAAGACTGAAAAAGATACATTTGAATGAGAAGTTAATCACTGAACTATATGGAACCAAACAAACTCCAGAAATGAGGAGAAGTCTCCAGCCAATGGGAATCTGACTAATCAATGCCAGAACCAGGCCAGGCAGAGTCACATCATTTGCAGGATGATTTTAAGAGTCAAAATCCTTTGAACCACTTTTACTTTATAGTGATCTAGAACTCTCTCAGCTCTTTATATAACATACTCAGGATAAATGTAATTAATTTTGAGAAGCAATAACATGAATATATTTACAACTATAAGGAAGATCAATGGCATTTTTTTTCATTGCTCAATATCAGACTGCATAACACTAAGGCTCTAATTGCTAATTGTTTTTATAATGCATTTATATAAAAATGAAATGTTTTATAATTATTTCTGAATACAAATTGTTATTAATTCCACTTAATTCTGATAAACTTTTAATACAACTCATTTATTGCACTTAATATTCTTATTAAAATATAGAAAACAGTATTAAAGACTGTATTCTTACAAAAGAGTTGAATTTCAATCGTAGAGGTTAAAAATACCAGGAATTTAATAACAAAAAGCATGTTGCAGGACCAGTCTTGAAACCTCAGTCCACAACAGTGCTATTAAAAATAAATAAAATCAATATAACAGGTGTTCACAGAAGTATTATAATTAAAAAGTTAGCTTTCAATCTATGCAACTTACTGTAAAAAGCCAAATCTATCCGTGACTTTGTAAATAAGGTAATCAGCATCTTCCCAAGGTTCGATCTCTGCACCTTCTCGCCCCTATAATAGTGAACAAAGAAGTGTGTTATTGGAAATCTACAAAACTGAACAATTAAATAAAAAGACCAAAAAAGAAAAGTTTTTTTTGTTTTTTTTTTTTATCTATTAACAGTAAGAGCTGGAAATGAAGCACAATCTACCTTACTTAACTTTAAAAACCATTTTTGGCTCTGGCCAGTTTGGCTTAGCAGTTAAGAGTATTGTCCCACTGTCCTGACCAGTTTGGCTCAGAGGTTGAGTGTCAGCCTGCGGACCAGAGAGTCCTGGGTTCGGTTCCCGCTAGGGGCACGTACCACCAAAAAAAAAAAAGAGTATTGTCCCGTGGCCTGAAGGGTCACGGGTCTGATTCCCAGTCAAGAACCTGGGTTGCAAGTTCAATCCCTGACCCTAGTCGGGGTTGTGCAAGAGGCAACCAATCAATGTGTCTCACATCAACGTTTCTCTCTCCCTCTCTCCTTCCCTTCCACTCTATCTAAAAATCAACAGAAAAATAATCCTCAGGTAAGGATTAACCAAAAATATTTTTTAATAATATATATATATATATATTTGGCAATATAATCACTATTTTCTAGTTGCCAGCTTTGGAAGATACCATATGTCAGCAGCAGCTAACACGTAGCTAAGTTTGATCAGACTTGGGTTCCTGTGAGGACCTGGGAAGGAGGGAGCAATAGAGGGTAAGAAAGTCACTCAAGAATGAGCTGTCAAAATGTAAACTTTTTAGTGAACATGTCTTAGGAAAAAAAGTATTTCTTGTCTTTTCATCCAACCTTCTCAGAAGAGTGGGCTATCCACCTTGTATCTCTACTTCTTTGCTTCACCGATAGACCAGCCCTGAAAGTATTGCTGCCACGGTCAGGAAGCATCTCCCCTTGTTGAAACCAGCGGACACGCTTCAGTCCTCCTCTAATGGATTTCTTCGAAGCACTTAGCAGTGTTGCTCACTCCCTGTTCCTCAACCTCCACGACACCACCCTTCTCGGTTCTCCTCATCCCTTTCCCACTCTTACTTGGTGGCTTTTTCACAGTGTCTCTTAACTGCCGGTGGTCCCGGTCTCTGACCTGAGCCACTGCTCTCTCATTCTGCCTTGAGGCTGTAATCTAGCACTGTTGGTGCAGAAACCTCCAACGTAACTGTCTATACTAACCCCTCCGATTTCACACTCAATACCTGACTGTCTTATGAACCCCTCCATCTGAGTATACTTTATAGTTGTCTGCTTATGTGTTCTCCTCCAAGGAAGCTGTGGGCAAAGAGCACTGTAACTCACATCTGTAGTGTGAATCCCCAGGGCCCAGCACAATGCCAAACCTGGCCACTAGGTGTTAGTTGCATGGAAGAAGAAAAAAAAAAAAAAGCATGCAAGCATGAATGAGTGATTGTTCTATTGGTTTTAAACTAGGTAAGCCATTAAATAAATTAATTAGCTCTGTCAGGAACTACACTAAAACTGAATCACAATAATGGGAAACTGTGTCTGATGTTCCAAATGACCAACTTAAACACACTCTGGGAACAGAACCATTGAGCTGAGCTCTGTCTATATGCCTCCCCGGAAGCAGAGCACAGTTCAGATGGCTTTCTCTAATTCCATGCTCTTGTTATTCTCACAAGTAATAAAAAATAAAATATACAGTTATATGAAAGTGATATAAATATAAAACGTGACACTTATAAATCACTGCTGCAACTCAAAGATCTCAAGAGGTAAGGTAATAATGAGACATAAATTGTCAACAATTATAATTTCCTAGGGCATCAAAATCCAGATTCCAAAACTAATTTGAGAATAAAATGCTAATGGAGATTATATATATATTTATTATATATATATATGGCCCTGGCCAGTTTGGCTCAGCGGTTAGAGCGTCCGCCTGCGGTCCGGAGAGACCCGGGTTCGGTTCCCGCTAAGGGCATGTACCTTGGTTGCAGTTTGTCCCCGGCCCTGGTTGGTTGTGCGGGTGGCAGCCACTCGATGTGTCCCTTTCACATCGATGTTTCCCTCTCTCTCTCTTCCTCTCTCTCCCTCCCACTCTGTCTGTACAAAAAATGGAAAAATGTCCTCGAATGAGGATTAAAAAAAAAAAAAAAAAAGAATAAAATGCTGCCCTGGCTGGTTTGGCTCAGCGGTTAGAGCGTCGGCCTGCGGTCCGGAGAGACCCGGGTTCGGTTCCCGCTAAGGGCACGTACCTTGGTTGCAGTTTGTCCCCAGCCCTGGTTGGGTCGTGTGGGTGGCAACCACTCGACGTGTCGCTTTCACGTTGATGTTTCTCTCTCTCTCTCTCCCTCTCACTCTATCTGAACAAAATATCAAAAAATGTCCTCGGGTGAGGAGTAAAAAAAAAAAAAAAAAAAGAACAAAATGCTAATGGAGATTTTATATATATATATATATATATATATATATATATATATATATATATAGTTTAAAATTTCAGATCCAGGTTAAATTTTTAATAGCACATACAAATTATGAATAAAATGGGTATTTAATTCTATAGACTAACTTACTAAAATATTTATTGAATACCTAGTGTAAGTTAGTAGCTGGTCTAGGTATTTAGGATACAAGAGTAAATCAAAATAGGTTCTTGCCCTCAGAGAATTTACATTCCAGGAGTGAGAGTTGACAACAAACAAAGTAAGTATACTATATAGTGCTATGGTGAAAAATAAATAAGAAAAGGGGATACGGAGTGCGAGGGTAGAGGGGGAGTATTAAACAGTGTGGTCAGAGATTTCACTAAGGTAACATCTGAGTAAGATCTGGAAGAGGTAAGGTAATGAGGCATGAGCATATCCAGGATCTAGGCAGAAGAAACAGCCAGCGCAAAGGCCCTGAGTCGGGAGCAAGCCTGGTGCATTAGAAGAACAGCAAGAGACTGCAGTGGCTGGAGCAGAGGGAAGGAAGGAGAGAACATTTAGAAATGAAGTCAGAGAAAAAAAGATGACTTCAATTGTCACATGAAATAAACAAACTGATTCTGTAATTTAAGCCCTCCAAAAAAAGCAAATCCATTTCTATTTATATGTTTTTTTTCTAATAACATACTTACTCTGTCATATTTAGCAACTATTTCAGCTCGTTCCTGGGCAAGTTTGAGTGCTACATCCTGGTCTGAATCTGTGGAAGATCAAATTTAGATGAACTGTTATTTAAAGAATTATAAAATTAAATTGATTACATCACTAAGATAAAAAAGATACAAATAAAATAAATTCATACTGCCTAAAATGGCAAACCAGCAACATTCAAATAAACTTAAAAGAATGAGTTAAGTATCTGTAACTACTTTAATATCAACTTATATATCATTTCAGTATTATCTATAGTAGTTAAAAGAAAGCAACTTTGTTAACATAGCATTAACTTAGGGGATATGATAAATCTTATCCCTCAAGAATAAATTTTGGCCCAGCCGGTATGGCTTAGTGGACTGAGCATCCTCCCATGGACTGAGAGGTCCTGGTTTGATTCTCGGTCAGGGTGCATGCCCGGGTTTGGGGCTCAATGCTCAGTAGGGGTTGTGTAGAAGGCAGCAGATTAATGTATCTCTCTCATATCAATGTTTCTATCTTTCCCTTCCTCTATCTTTAAAAAAATCAATAAAAACATAGTTTTAAAAAAAGAAGCAAGAAGCCCTGGATGGTTTGGCTCAGCAGTTAGAGTATCGGCCCACAGACCAATGAGTCTCGGGTTCAATTCCGGTCAAGGGCATGTACCTCAGTTGTGGTTTGGCCCTGGCCCAGTTGGGGTCGTGCTGGAGGCAACCAGTTGATGTGTCTCTTTCACATCACTGTGTCTCTCTCTCTCTCCCTCTTTCCCTCCCTCCCACTCTATTTGAAGATAAATAGAAAAATATTCTCAGGTGGTGACTAAAAAAAAACAAATTTAAAAAATAAAGAAAGAAGCGATAAAAATATTAAAAAGAATTAATTTTGGATCTAGTGTCAGAGAAATGAGTATTAAAGGAGAATCTGAAAGCAAAAGCTCTAAGCTTTCAGATGAAATCCATTTGAGTAGATGATGAAAAGAGCACTCAAGAAAGCTCTTAAAAATTATTGGAATTCATCCACAAAGAAAACTAGTGCAAGATATACTTCAGAACTTTATAAAAAATTATTTTTCTTACATGATGAAAATAATCATTTGTTCATTTAACCTCTCAGGCCCCCCTTATGAATACCCCAAATACTATAATAAGCTCCAGTTTCACCCCCCTCCCCCAAACATGAACGAACACACACACACACTTCTTTCTTTATTACCACCAGGTATTTTTCCAAAACACAAATCTGACAATAAAAGTAGAGATCATAGCATAAAATAGTGTGAGTATGATTACACATCCCAAGAACCATGAGTAAAAATAAAAGACCAATGACAGCCTATGTAAATGGCTCTCATCAAGAAGAAAAAGACAAACATTCCACTGGAAGACTGGGTCAAGGGCATAAGCAAGAAATTCACAAGAGTAACAACAGCAGGGACAACTATATTTGTACTCTTACTAAGTGCCTGGCAGAGGATGAGTTACTGCCAGGCAGCAGATACTACTGTGAAGAGCACTTTATAACTTACTTTATAAGGTAGTATATTAATCCTACTACATAGGTGGAAAAAATGAGGCCTAGAGATTTGAACCCACTTGTCTAAGGTCTCAGTGCTAGTTAATAGCAAAGCCAGGATTCAAATCCAGATAGTCTTGACTCCATACAAGCATTATTCTAGAAAAGTGATTACCAAAGATGAAAAGGACTTCCAGTTAAAGATGGCAGATAGAACACACATATCCATGCCTCCTAAAACCAAACTAAAATGACAACAGAGGGATTCTTTAAAGCCCTTCACTCAAAGGCTCAGCAAATGGTAATTCCTGAGGAGAGGGAAGGGTGGGGTTAAAAACAGGGAATTGATTAAAAGCATCAACCCCCTGAGGGTTGAAGGGATGTGCCTGTATGTAGCAGAGGTTGGGAGCACAAAATTTCACCCTCACAAGCAGGAAAGCAATGGATGATGCCTAAAGATGCAGAAGCAGGAAGTGGCAATAGAGGTGTTATCTTGCACTATGGAAGTAAACAGAAAAAGAATCAGCGAGGGGAGTAGGCAGTGAGGAGGGAAAGGCATGGATGTTGGCTATTTTTCAAAATAAGTCTTACAGACTGCTGAATCTTTAAACCAAGTATAGCTCTGATAAAAATAAAATCTAAATGTAAAGCCAAGACATGGGGGGAGGGGAGTGTCAAACTCGTTAGAAACTAAAGATACACAAGTTTTAAAACATCCCTTTGTGCCCAGCCAGAGTGGCTGAGTGGTTGAGTGTCAACCCACGCACCAAAAGGTCACTGGTTAGATTCCCAGTCAGGGCACATGCCCAGGTTGTGGGCCAAATCCCCAGTGTGGGGCATGCAGGAGGTGGCCAATGGATGTTCTCTCATGGATGTTTCTATCTCTCTCTCTCCCTCTCCCTTCGTCTCTCTCTAAAATCAATAAAGAAAAAAAGTTAAAATAAATAAATAAAATATCTGTTTGCACTTATCTCAGACTAACTAAACAACAACAAAAAAAAGCAATGATATTGCTCAATGCTAACAAAAGTGTGGGGCAAATCTGCAGTACCTGACACTGAGGGCAGAATTATAAATGTATAAATTTTTCCAGAAAGTAATTTGATAATATGTATCAAAAATCTTAAAAACAGGCATGTCCTTTACCCAACAATTTCACCTCTAGGAATTTATGTTATTTAGATCATCAAACAAGCACAAGATTGTTTATAATAGTAAAAACAACCAAATGGGAATCTGTACATTTAAAAAATCTTATTTAGTAAAAATTATTATGCTATTGCTTTTCTCAATTAGATTATAAAGTGTCAATATGCTGTCCTTTGGGGAAAAATGTGAATACATAATAGAATGATTCTATAAAATAAAAATACAGACTAGTTCAGATTTTCATAGTGAACTAACACAATCAGAAGTCTGGGGTAATCAACTCAGTTATGTACATATTCACTATCTTATTTTAGATTTATAAACCTTTATCAGTTCCTTTTTCCTTCTTATGTTGCCCAGCTTTAAAACATTACATTAAGACTTCTACAAAAAGAAAGGAAAACAAATCAATAGAAATTAAACACAAACTAAAAAACCTGACTACATATTAAGTTGCACTTCCATTATCAGAACATTAAGCATGGATTTCTATTGCAATTAGGCCAATTCAGTGGATGAGCATTTTCTCTGAATGCATCTTATACAAGTCCTTTATTCCTGCTACCAGTTGAAGGAGTCCCAACTATATGTCCAAATTAATGACAAAAATTTAAAAGATTAAAGGCAAAAACACAAAATGGTATGTAGTTGGGAAGTGATGCAAAGTATCCCAAGAAAACGCCATTGTGGCAAACTGTAACATATAAAGCTTTACACAAATCATTTCCAGTCTAGAGATTTCCAGAAAAGAAAGCCTAACCCTCTAACAGAGGTTGTACTGGAACTGGATGAAACTGTATCCTAATTTTTTGGAAGAAAGATGATATACTTTAACATGATTAGAGCTCACTTGACTCTCAATCAAATAAATGTTCTATATCTTCAAATTCCTTTAGAAATTCTTTATCGTAGGATTTCCCACAGGGAAAAAAATTTATACTATTAATGAACGTATTCTAAAAAGAAAGTGAATTAAAAGTCAATTAATTTTATAAAATACAGTCAAACCTGCTTCTTTCAAGAGACTAAATGGAAATGCCAATCTTTTTCAACAGAGTTTAAAGACATTTTTAAATAATCTGCATTGTGAAACAATCATCTTTAGAGCCAGAAGTGGTATCCTTAAGCAGAACTTGCTATAGTTAAATTATGTTTCATACTATCTGATCTATAGTTGAGAAATTTATTAAGAATTACACTCGAGTGCTCCATTTGGTTTTGTTCTGATGGCTTATTTAGAAATCCCATTGCGAGAACAAAGAGCTTGCCGTCAAACCCTGGCCACAGGGCAACCGAGAGCTGCCTGTGCCTGTGTGCAAGTGTGCACCGAGTCCCAGGCGCCTACTGAACGGTGACAGCTGTGTCACTGGTACTTACTTCACATGTCATTCTCAAATTCAGAAAACCTACTACATTATTCAAGCCAAATTAAGTCTAATTATTATTCTTGACTTTATATCTAATATAACAAGGTTTCAAAGTTTCAGAGGTAAATTTTAAAAAGTAAGGATAAAAAGGTGTTTGGATGATACTCAATAATACAAGAAAACCTATCTGGACCCAAATGTATGAAAGAAAATGACAACTGTAGCATTTTAAGTAGTGTTTTATAACATTTTTTAAAATTTTTTAATTTTTTTTTGTTACAGATGTTTCTAAGAAGACCTTTATTTCACTTAAACACAAAAACTGTTAAAAAAAAATCAAATATCCTCCTGAATTACAATTTTTTAAAAACAGGCATTGTAACTCAGCATTATTCAATTAACCCCAAATTCTAATAAACTATTCATTCATAGTTGTAAAGTTTCAAACTCAATCCAATAAAACAAAATTGATAACAGATATTTTTCCTGGTGTACATTTGGGAAGATGAACATTAAATATATATGAATCAACCATTTTAAATTAAAAATTACTTTACCCTCTGTTAGATACCCGGTCTGGCCTTGGGAATTAACAACAGCTTCAGTCCTCATAGAGTAAAGTTATCTATTCCAAGACTTCATTATTATTTTACAATTCTCAAGCACACCAAGAGTGTTAGGTGGAACCTCACACATTCTGCAACAAACTAAAACAGGAAAATGGAAGGCAGCTCTACTTTAAACTACTGGTGAAACAAGCACAAGAAAGAAGATGTTTGAGATGCATTCTAAGGGAGAAAAAAGACCTTGCTATGGTTACACGGACTATAGATGTTCAAACAAAGATGATATTTGTTGAGAGAAAACATGGTTTCAGGCCAGATCCCAAGTATGAAACACAGCAGCCTACACCCAGCATTCCATCTAGTAACAAACAGGGGCTTTAACAAGCAGCTTCAGAATACGCCTTACTCTGGTACTTCAAAATTAGCCACATTCTTATTAATTTTAATAAAGTTTGTCATGGAGAAACAAAGAAAATTTTTATTTACGACATTAAAGCTAAGCAGAGATGCTCTCCTCCTCAAATATATTTTATACTGTAACATCATTTTAATGATAATTTCTAATGTGTAAACTGCTCCTGTTTCAGACACTGAGCAAATACATGCTAAATTTTAGAAGGTTTCAGACATTTTTAACATACCACATACATACGAATGAAACAAGTGTTTTATGTAACAATATGTATAACTACTGCAGGATGGCACTGTGAAATGTTCTATTTATTCTCCCCTTCATTGCTTCATTCTTTCTTTCTTTTAAAAGGGCAGGGACCTACAATTTGGAAACCACTTTGTGAAAATGACAGCCAGGTTAGAACATCAATTACACTTAACTGGACGCTAATGAATTAAGGTGATGCTCAGCCTAAGTCAGTTGTAACATTCAATATAAGCAAAAATATCTCAGAAGCTTAGAGAGAGGGAAAAATGTCGTCATATTCCAAGGAATGAGAATGAGGCTGGTATCAATCTTATCAGTCAGAAGATAATGAAGCACTATTTTCAAGTTCTGAGCAGAAATGATCATGAACTTGGAATTCTATACCAAGTCAAACTATCAATTAAGGATGAGGAAAAAAATAAAAGCACTTTTAGATATTACAATATATGGCAAGCTGAAGACTGACACCCCAACCCCCCAACAAATGTCCACCTCCAAATCTCTGGAAACTGTGAGTGTACCTCATATAGAAAAAGGAATCTGCAGATACAGCTAAGTAGGGATATTGAGATGGGGAGATTATCCTGAATCATGCAAGTGGGCCCAATGTAATCATAAGGCACCTTATAAAAGGAAAGAGGTCAAAGGAGAAAGTAGGAGATGTGACGATGGAAGCAAGAGGCTGCAATGACGTGAGGAAGAAAGGAGTCATGGGGCCTCCAGAAGTTAGAAAAGGCAAGGAGACGAATTCTCTTTTAGTGGCTCTAGAAGGAACCAGCCCTGCTGACACGCTGACTTGGGCCCAGTGAAACTGATTTCAGACTTCTGGCCTACAGAAGTGTAAGAAGGTGAATTTATGTTGTTTCAAGCCACTAAGTTTGTGATGATTTGTTACAACAGCAATAAGAAACTAATGTAAGAATTCAAAGTTTACTGCCTTGTAATGTTTCTCTTAAGAAGGCTTTGAGAATATACTACAGAAAAACAAAATAACACCAACCAAAAGAATTGACAAAGACCATCTCCTTATGCAAACATCTATCAGGCTCCACAGAGTCCTCCTTTCAAGTAGGCCCCAGACTTGGTCTCCTGTCCTGTATTCCACCTGCCTAGACCAATTTTAGCAAGAATCCTGCTAAATCAGTTGAGTGAGAGTCATGCCCTCCACCCCTAATTCTTGATATCTGATCACCCCTGATATCTGATCAGATTCCTTACCCATCACCCTTAATATCTGATCACCCTGGCCTGTCTTTTTCAAGAATCCTGTTAAATGGGTTTAGCAAGAATCACCCTACCCTAATGCCTCCTCTTAGTAATTCTGTATCAACCAAATTCCTCACTCTGTTTGTGGGCTATAAATCCCCACTTGTCTTTATTGTATTTGAAGTTGAGGCCAATCACTCTCCCCTGTTGTGATAGTTTTGACACCTGATATAATAGTCCTGGATAAAGATTTCTTTACTGTTAACTAATTCATAATACTTTTTCTTTAACAGAATAAAAAAAAGGGGCAGACACAGGATCCATGAAATCTCAAGAAGCTAAAATTAGACATGTCCAGGTGCCAACTGTGTAGTTGCCTAGAGAGTAACCAGCCTACATTAGAATGGGGAATACAAAGTGTCTTCAATAAGAAAGTAGATTCTCAGCAACATATAGATCCTGAATATTATTAGTGATATAGTAAAAGCTTACATGCAAAAGATACCAATAAAGATGGTGAGAGGCCTATTAGAAATCTCATAACAAGCAAAGCAAACAGTGTTAAGTCAGTCAAATATGAAGTAATGTACAAAGGGGTATGGTTATGAATCTGATGGCATATGGGAAAGTGAGTTCATTTGACCTTGATACTTTCAACATTAGGGTTATATTTCCTTCCTATACACCTCATCATAATATTTGAGATTGAAGTAAATGATATTTATATTATTATGATTACATAAGAATTTCAATGCCTTTTCCTGCCCATAATCAGTATAGACAAAGTATCTAAAAGTAAACTCTGATATGCACATATACACACATTCCACTCCAAACCTAATCCCCCATCCTAGAAACAGCAACTCTTATCTACCAAAAGTACTCTCCACACCACACAAGAATCTGCATGGATTCACACACACACACACACATTTAAATCTCCCTTTTCTATTCAAGAACTAGAATCATCTTATAAGTAATCCAACACCTTACTCTCTTTTGTTTAACAACACATCTTGGAGATTGTACATATCAACACCTACAGATCTCCCCAGTGGTGTGCCAATAAAGGTTTAGCAATCGGTATTTGGAACCTGGATTTGTGGCATCTGCCAATTCCCACGCTGTGATACTCCCACTATGGTGGCCAATACCAAGCTACCAAGATGATGTGGCTGAACAGAGTTCAGGCTGGCTCCAATATATCAGTGCATCTACCTCAACCTTCTTGACAGCTGTAAAGTTTCCTAACACATTAACATAATTTATTCAGCCAATCCTCTCTTAGGAATTTGAACTAGGATAAACTGAGAGAGTTCCTTTGTAATGGGAGTTAAATGAAACATCCGGAGGTAAAGGGCACAGCAGTCCATAATGACCAAAGGCAAGCTGAAAAAATGAGAAAGCCAAAATGACCAGTAAACTGAGAGAAAGCAGCTGTGGCAGACAGGAAAACAGTGCCTGATGTTCAGACAAAGCAAAGTCATCCTCAGAGAGACCTTTTAGCCTAAAAAAGAGCCAGCCCACCCATGAAGCTGCTTCATGCCTCAGTTACTGGTGGCTTTCATTTCAAGTTCAATGTATTCACATGGCACATGTTTTTTCCCGAAGTAATTTGAATAAGTTATTCATGTCTATGATTTGAGTTCCTTAGTTCCATCCCATCTTTCAACCAAAAGAGGGCCTATGAATCCACAGAGCCAACGCAAGCAATGGTTCAGTTACTTGGATTGCTTCCTCAATATAACACTGACTAAGACATATCAACAATAAAGATTCTTTTAATGGTAAAATCTTAATAGGCACCACTGCTAAAACATCAGCATTTATTTTGCTGTGCTCTATATCCAGGCTGGAAGGAATGTTCAGAGGAGGAATAAGCAGAATTAAGTAGATCAACTACAAAATACAACTAAAAACAAACAAAAATAAAGGAAGGTGCACCAGTCATAAGATAACCTGAAATACTACTTATTTTAACAGGCCATTCTGTGCAAGATGAAATTCAATATAAGCACCTAAAAGTTACATATGTGTGCCACTGCAACCCATCCCCGAAAGCTTATTCTTAAAGAGCATCCTGGGATACCGAGGTAACCTAAGCCAAAAGCACCACCTGTGGTTCTGTGAGAACTGATCCAGAATCTACTGTTCCTTTCAACCCCTCCATTGAGTGGGGGTTGTGGGGGGCAGGTATCTATAATCCAATACTCCTTTGCACTCCAGCCCCGTCCCATTTCCATCTCATAACTCAGTTTATTCCATGTTAAACAAATGTCTTATCAAAAAATGCACAACCTCAAAATCCCATTTATCTCCTTCCTTCCCCCACAATGTAATAATCTTAGAAAAATCATCTGGCTTCCTTCCCTCTTTCTCATGCTCACTTGGGAACAACACAAGAAATGATTCTGATCATAGCTGCAATGATAAAAACAGTATAAATAATCATGATCAAGGAGGGCGCCGCCAAAGACTGAAAGCTAAATGCATGAAAGAACCAATGCCATAAAGCCAAAAGTCCTCAAAAATGCCCAGATTTCCTCTTCAGAAGAGCCACACAAGTATCCATATGCATCTTTATATTCCTCGGATTTAATATGCATCGTCTAATAAAATAAAAGTGGTCAAAATAAATAACCCCAAATGATCTTCAATTTTAGCTTTTATTTTAATTATCAGTATAAATATGACTTATACCTCTTCACTCAAAATATTTCCAATATATCACTACCAGCAGCCTATCATCATTTTATATTATGCTTTAAATAAATATTTTTTAATTTTTCATTAAATTTGCAGAACATATTTCTTCAAATTCTTACATAGGAGTCCAATTTTTAAGGGAGATGGATGAGTGGGACTGAGGAGAGATGCAGCAAAGTTCTCTTAGCTTGATCTCCCTCCTTCCTCCAGGGACCCCCAGGACCTCTTTGGAACTGCTAGTGCTACACAGACCGAGCAAGGACGTTGTACCCACCTGCCTTCTTTTGTTAGTACATTTGCCATCTATTGCTCAAGTGATTTCTTTCCAATCAGTTTCCCAGCTGCCATCTTACTCTCCCTTTCACAGAGTACCTCCCCATTCTCCAGGGCCTTCTCTTCCTTTCAAAAATAAAAAGATCAACATTTTAAAACTGGTCGATTGTTTGTTTCATTTGTAAGCATGTATTTTAAGACCTTGAAGAACAGGATACATCTCCAATATTTAAAACATGGAGCACCCAGAGTCAGGTAGATATTTAATATTTCTATAATTCAAACTATTTTAAATTATAGTTTTAACAATTACTGGGTAGGCTTCTACTACTTGCTTCCTGATTTCTGGAAAGATAAGGGACAATTTGTAAAGCCCTAGAAACAAGTCCTGACAAGGATTCGTTATAAGAGAGAAGATCGTTTCCTCCCCTCAAATGTAATCATGAATTGCAGGCTGCTTCTAGATGATCCACCTTGTCACTGCCCATTGCCATAAAGGTAGAACTGGCCACTGCTTCTTTTGATCAACTGTATTTTCAATTATATTTTATTTAATATTACATGTCTCTTTTACTGAACTGTAATCTCCATGAACAAAGGACAGTATCTCATTCGTCTTGGTAGCTCTAAAATCTACTATAGTGCCTTGCACATGGTAGCTGCTCACTAAATATTTCTTAAGAGGATAAGAAAAATTACTGAAAATTAATTGTTAATGTGAATTATTCAACCAGGCAAGTACTTAATATATTAATTTGTTTTTTAAATTAGATTTATAAGCTATTTTCCAGATACGTCTTCACTGCAAAAAGTACACCCTTGCCAAAGATTCTTAGCTTTCCTCATATATTCTATTGTTTCTTAAATTCTATTCCAAGAAACATTTAAGATTTTATTGAGTCTAAAATTCAAACATGAGAAATCACAATCTATTTCTGATTAGCACTTCTGATTACAGTCGTCCCTCACCACTTCGCGCTCTGACTTACACAGCTTCACTCTATCGCGGTTTTTTCAAATATAGTATAGTAGTATAAATAAAGAATCCTACTTCGCAAAAATTCATTTATCACGGTAGAGTCTGGAACTGATTAACTGTGATAAAGAGGGCTGACTGTATTTACGAATCCTTCACATCCATTAAGGAATGAATGGATGGATAAATGGACAGATGAACAAACGGATGGAAATGAATAAATGAATGAATGTTAGGGGCTCTTAAAAGATGAAGAAAAGCAGAAACTTGTTTATGTCTATGTTCCAATCTACCCTTCTCCACATCCTTCCCTTTATAGAGCTCCCAATCTACTCACAGAGCTTCAGTCTCCCTTTCTGTTCTGGAAGGTCACGGTGACCTGGCTCTGTGTTGTTCTAGGGACTTCCACTAGAACAACACTGGGGAACTCTCTCCCCCTCTTCCCTTACTCCTCTCATGGAGGCAGGACTTCTGAGGTCGAGGCATCTGAAAGGAGCACCTGAGCAAGATGGCTAAGCTCCTGCCTTTCCCTCCCAGCTGCCCTGTCCCTGGGTGCCTGCTCTCTGCCCTCCATGCAGAAAGGCATCGGTCCTGATGGGAAGCCGGGGGCTGCTCAGCCGCGCTAGTAACCACGGGTAAGTCTGTCTAAGTCAAGACAGGCTAATAAACCCGCTCACTTCAGATTGAATGCCATGTGTCCTGCAATCAGCCAAGAGGAGTCATTCTGGTCTCCCTCTGTCGGTCTCCTCTGTCTTACTCCTCAGAGAGAGTGTCACCACTGGTTCCCTAGAACTTGCAATCAGACAAGTAACTCCTACATTTCTGTGAAAGATGATTCACGGAGAAAAAGGATATGAAGTGATGTAATATTACTTAAATAAATACCATTACTACTGATGAGAAATGTAATTACTGGTTGTTGAATAAGAGTGTAATTCCCATTTAAGGGACAGGGTTGAATGACAAAATTGACAACAACAGAAACTTAGACCCGAGACAAGTGTGAGTCATTTTACTCACTTAAACCCGCCTACACTTGCTAGCAAAATCAAGATTATACCTTAGCTGTGCTTCCGCCAGTATGATCATCTTGACAGTATGACACAGACTGCTCTGTAACAACTCCTTGTTTGTAGATACTTTATAATCTGTTTAGTGAGATCTTACTGTGTGCCCGACATCACGCTGGGTATTTACTACACATAATCTCACATAATTCTCACAGCGACCACCTGTTCTGTCAGTTTAATAGTATCCCCAGTTGACATATGGGGAGCCTGAGGTGTAGAGAGGTTACAACAATCTGGTCCCAGGGTAGCTGGTCACTGGCAGAGCAGGACTTCAAAGTCAGGCTTTCTGACCTCATAGCCCTGTTTCTTACCACTAAGCTATTTTGCTAAAATTTAAAGGGGTGATCCTTTTATATTTCTTCTCACTTCTGCTAGGCCTTATGTTTCTTTTCTTAGAAACTCCTATGAATTCTTAAGAGTTGTTTTCTGGGTTCCAGTAGCTTTCCAATCTGATCACACTAAATTGTCAATTATTTGTGCAAAATGGAGACCAGCAGTGTTGTAGATGATCCAAGAACCATTAATATAAAATATTTTTTGTGATCATAAGCAACTGTACTGACTCTATTATTTTTTAAGTTGTGTGTTTTAGAAAAACAATAGGAAATAATTGAGAAACATTAAAAATTTGACAGAATATTCACCAAGTGGATACTGATATTAACTTTACTAAAATACTTCATACTTTAACTTGATGATGTCAAATGATTTCATGATTAATTTCTATGGTTATAGAAAGATTTCTGTTGAATCCACATCATTTACTTACCTTTCACAACTCTTTCAGCTCATTCGTAATTATAAGCATGCACAATTATATTTATTCATTACAATAAAACTTTGTGTTGAATTCAGCCCAAGGGGTTGAAGAAATAATGCAATTACAGCAAATTCTTATAGATCAGATATAAGACAAAGGGGATAAAAGGAGATAAGAGGAAATTCATAGACTTCCCACACTGACAATCAATAACTAATCCTACAGATAGTTTCACAAACCCTATTCTCAACCCAGTGGTAACTTTTCTACTCTTTAAATAAAAAATGATACACAAATATCAAATTGTGCCTAAAATGGAATACAAAAACAAAAACTAAGTATTACTTATAACAACTGAGTAGCACACAGGAAGAACTGTATTAATACATAAACAAAAGTATGAGCTATGCAAGAATTATTTGGTCCCAGAGGTTCAAAATGAAACAGAAGGCCATCAAAAAAACAGCAATTTAGGCCATAATAAATACAAACGTTCCTATCACATGAAGCTGTAATTCAAGGAGGAGGAGGAGGGAGAGGAGGAGGGGGGCGAGGAGGAGGAGGAGGAGGAGGAGGAGGGGGAGGAGGGGGAGGAGGGGAGGGAGGAGGGGGAGGAGGGGGAGGAGGGGGAGGAGGAGGGGGAGGAGGGGGAGGAGGGGGAGGAGGGGGAGGAGGAGAAGGAGGAGAAGTGCCCTGAGCTCCAAGCACAGCACCGAGCTGTTCTCAAACACGCAACTGTATTCAGCACACCTCACCAAAACAATCCTGAGAACACTATAAGTATCTCACACACGTACGTATGTTTAATATGATATTTAGTTTTTTTTCTTTTAAATCCTCTCCTGGGGGTATTTTTCCATTTATCTTCAGATAGAGTGGGGAAGGGGGGAGAGAGAGAGAAAGAGAGAAACATCGATGTGAGAGAGACACATAGATTGGTCGCTGCCCACACAACCCCAACTGGGGCCAGGGACCAAACCACAACTGAGATGCATGCCCTTGATGGAATCAAACCTGAGACTCTTTGGTCCACGGGCCAAGGCTCCAACCACTGAGCAAAACCGCAAGGGTATGATATGTATTCTTTACATTCTGATACTGTTATTGTGCTAATAATGTTGTTAGGGTGACTTGGATAAGTAAGATTTATTTTACATTAACAAACATCAGAAGTGCGACACACACATAGTGATCCAGATGAATTAAGTACCAACTAGGAAGCTGGGTTCCTAAATCATAGCTAGTATTTATTTCGCACAATATAAACATTTTATGTACATTATTATTTAATGTCCTCATAGCAAAAGTATAAGATAGATATTGTTCACTTAACAAATGAGAAAACTGTTAAATTAATTAACTGGCGAAGATCATATAGCTTGAAAGTTTAGAAATGGCATCTTGGATAAGGCAATAAGTCTCCAGAGTGCTCTTAATCACTCCGCGTGGCCTTTGAAAAAAATAAAATGGCAAGCAAATGAAGGAAGGTTTATCAAAAGAATCTGTCAACAGGGATCCTCAAAATAACAATCAAATGTAAATAGGCCAGGGAAATGCCCACCAGTCAATAGGAGTACAAAGAGGTGTTTCTGAGTAGAAAAGAGGCCAGAAAAGCTGTAGAGGAAAAAAAAATAAAGGCTACTCAAGGAAGGAAGAATAGTTTGCTTATTAATAGCTCTCATTTGTTGAGCTGTTATTATCCCCCAGGCACAGTGCTAGGTGAGTACATTATCTCATTTAATATTCAAATAGCCCTATTGTCATTTACATTTTACAGATGAGAAAAATAAAATTTAGAAGTCAAGCAACTTGTCCAAGGCTACATTAGTGTCGCAGACTCAATCCAAATCCACATCCAAAGTCTGTCCTCTTGCTCACTAGGTTACAAAAGTTGAGAAACAGAGAGAGAGAAGAGGGAGATAAATGTGTCTGTGTACCTCTAAATTAATAAGGCACAAGCTACCAACTAGTGTACAGTAACCGGGAAGTAGGTGAGTGGATTTCAGGGTGCAGAAACCTCCAATGCCGGCTGTGTTTCCTCAAGTAATTGCCTACTCCAGGAAAAAGAAACACCTTCCAAGACCTGCAAATGATGACTTTCCAAATCACTTATTCCTGTACATTTTCAGACAGCCAAGTTCTCAAGGTTTTACTCCACTGATACCATAAAGCTGCCACAGAGTTTTAAGGATATAAAACAGATTTCAATAGTAACTGATTATTATAAACAAGCAGGTTTTTTTTCCAAATGTTAAATTGGGACAACTAAATATTGTTTTCATATACGACTAGATACAATTAAGTTTATTTTTTTATGCTG